GGATGGGCGCTCGCTCTGGCACGGTGAGAACATTTACAAACGACAGGGAAGCACATTCTGGACCAAAAGCCACGGAAGGAACAACAGGGGAAGGTTACATAATGCTGGTTTTGGACAAGATAAACCGCTCGCGCTGTAAATGCCCTGGCTGTGCAGACCCTGTGGTAAGTGTAGGACACAGCACAACAATCAAGGAATTATTAAGTTTCTGGAGGGCAACTTTTTATGGAAGACAACTAGGTGCTTGTCAGATCTTTTAATAACAGCATTTCATCTTTACATAACAGATAACTCATTTTGCTAATGATCGTATCAGATGGCACATCAGGACTGTCTCTGGAAGGGATGAAGGTACTGACAGGAGTTGCAAAATAAGGCCCCACCTTTAAGCCGAGCTTAGCGCACACTGAGAATTGAACCGCAGGCACAGAGAGCCAGGATGTGATAAGGCGTCTTATTTAAACAGTGTGTTCATACCCCTGTGCCAGCACTGAAACCAAAGCAACTGGAATCGGGAGCTGTCTAAAGCCACATCTCTATATTTAGCAGGTTCCTGATGCATTTACCCACTGACCACTGTGTTCTCTGCGTCTGGAACTAACAAGAATAGCGGCAGGGCCTTTTTCTCTTCATCAGCAGCTACTTTGTGCTGGGAAGAGAAGCTGATCGATACATACTGGGAGACATCTAGAGATGCTGGAGAACACGGGAATAAACCCTGGGAATAAACCCTGAAAGCTGTCTGAAAGCAGCCAATACCAACTAACTTTGAACTACAGAATGTGTGGCAGAAGCTACAGGGAAGGGAAGGGAAGGGAGGGGGGGCCCGCAGGCAGCAGCGCTCAGCTGAGCTGCAGCCTGCCTGCCACGGGCTGTGCTGCACCACGCGTGGTTATTCTAAGGCAGAAACACTGTTATTAAAACTCATCCAGTCAGACTGGGACAAAACCCTGGCAGATACAATTTTAATGTGGTTTAGAAACCACACAGACCAATTCAGCCTAATGGAGCATTAAAATAAATCACTCCAGCACCTTAAGCCAGTTTAAGTGCATCTGTATTCAAGATGTGCCTCGGTCTCATCAGACCAGTTTTAAATCAGGCTCGTTATTAACCCAGCGTGCCAGACCTGAAGCTGAGTTTGGGGAAACTTGCATTCCCATTAGATCAGCACTGCAGCCTCCAGGACTCCTTTCCTCTGGTTTTCCTCACAAAGTAACATGACTGAAAGCTGTGAGAGCTGAGTAATACACTGTGCCAGTGCACGACCCTGACCTGTCTACTTTTACATCTGTTGGGGTGGACAGTACTGGGAAGCACACTCAGGCTAATGCTCTTCCCATGGGAAAACCATTTCAACACATCCTTTGGACAAGCCAGTATTTCTAGAAGCTCACTTTGGGCCTTTTTCCTAGTTGCATCCTGGGTGCTTTGCCTGCCTGGATCGCAGCAGGGACTACAGCCCCCGCAGAGCATCTCTCCCTTGCTGTGGGGCAGCTCCTGCACCATTCCCATCTCACTTTTTGGGAGCGTGATGCTGATGATCTTTGGACAAAAGCCACGGGTGGATACCAACACTAACCCACGTGGGAAGGAATACAAGCTCCCAAACACTCCCAGCCTATCTGACAGTTCACAGCCTGGACTCCAGACACTAACAGGAGACAAAACCTGTGGGAACCATTAGGAGCCAGGCCAGGCTGTCCATCTGTACCTGCTTTTTAGATCTGTCTGTGCTGAAGCTCGGGATGCAACAGGTAGGCTGGATATTAGCACACCTGCCTGGCCACAGCAGCCACCCCCAACAACAGCCCCAGGGGCTGCTTTATTCCAGGGAGCAACTGCTGAAGAGCTGCATCCAGAACTCTCCTGGAGGCGACGCTGCTAAATCAGGGCATGGCACAAGCCCCAGCAGCTCCATTAAACTTTTCCCTGACTTCAGTGACAACTGTGCATTTTCAACCATTTATTTTCCACGTTTTCAAAAAGGTTTTGACACTTCTACATGGCATGAAAGTAAGAGTTTGCATGATACACACCGATGGCACAATACTGAGCAAGTTGCGCACTCCAACACAATTTTAACTTTAAAAAATTCTGAAATGTTTTACAACTTCAAATCGGCATTAAACAATGTTGTTAAACTGCACCAGAAGACACTGCAGAGCACCTAATGATAGCTCCAGAGATACAATTTCAAAGGCAGAGCTAGCAGATCGGATAATGGAGAGCCCAAATCCTTTGGACAAGGTTCAAACTTAGGCAGTTTATGGATATTTTTAAGCCTCAAAGAATCGTCAGCACTTCAAGGTAATGATGCACTTATTCCTACAGATCTGGTGGAGACAGTGGACATAAAACAATGTACATTCATCAAGCGACAGGCCATGGAGCTGCTGCTTATATAAGTCTGCTTATCTTGGTTCCAAGGGAGCCAGCATTATTCACAGCAGCGTGCTCCTCACAGCCCCTCTGCCCCGAGCTGTGTTCCTCAGTTTCCAAGGGCTGTTAAAGCCTTTTAAAAAAGGATCAGGCAGCATTTTTTTTAACTCCCTGTTGGAGAAGGGAAGCCAGCACCTGCTGCATGCCTCTGGCAGGCGCAGTTATGCAGGCTCAGACCACGGTTTTACTTCACCCAGCATTAACGTCAAGTCAACATTTTGGAGATATTTTGACGGCCTGGGACAGGCTCTTCTGCAAAATCCCCTTGTTCTGTCACTAATTCCTTCTCTCCTGGGGGGGCAGTAAACAAAAAAACCCTGCAATTCACGACCCGGAGTGTAGGATGTGGCATTGTGAACTTCCAATGCCAGAGGCTAAAATATTTTTGTGCTTCAGCCTTAATGTGAGAGCAACAAATTAGCATGAGTCATATCTTGAACACTCCATCTGATGGATGAGTCCTCCTCACATTAACAGATACAACTTTCACTTCCTGAGCACATCCTAAAAGCGGTTTTCCAACTATGCATTTTGGGGACTAAAAGAAGATCCAAACAAGAACTGCTTATTCAGTAGCACGATTGTTTCTTTAGAAAGGGATACAATTCATCAAAATGCCACCTAAAAACAATCAAACAACTTTATTTGGAAGGAACGGTTTACAGTCCCACAGCCCACTGCCACAGGACTAAAATTAAGACATCGAATCCTCCTCTAACAACATTTGGCTAAAAATTACAACTTTATATTCCACGTATTAGGCTGTCCCTTAGGAATCCTGTCCCAGCTGGAACACACACTTGGTTTAACACTCCTCCCAGGAAGAACGAGTGTGAATATTCAGTCACTTCCATTTGTTATTTAACTGACACTGGGGACAGGCTTTTAAATCCACGCTTTTTAACTAGTTTTAACTAATCAGCTGGATCGGGGCTGATGTGCTGCTGTGAGAATGGGAAGAAGAAAAATGAAAGTCACATCAGGACTACCTCAGTGCTGCTTTCTGCTGGGTGCATTGGCACGCTCGCACCCCAAATCACCGATTCTAACAAAACCATTCAAGAAACAATATCCAGCATTTATCAGGAGCTCTGAAAGCTTTATTATTTAGAGAGGGGGAAAAAAAATCAGAGGAAAATTTCCACGTCACAGTTTTATGAAGATGCTTCCGAGTCGCACGTTCGGAAAGCGAACTGCTGACTCCTTAATTAAAAGCAGCAAAGCTGCCTCCTAAATCAGCGTGTGACATCACTACTTCAAAACTCAGCACCTTCAGAAAAGCACGGACGAGCAGCGAGGAGCTGGACACGTACTTGAAGCATTACTTGGCATTTCTCAGCCTGCTGCAATACAGTCCTGCCAGCCTAGGAAAAATTTCCCCTGGAAAAATGCTCAGCTGGGAGGCAGCAAGGCACTAAAGCAGCCCCGGCTCGGAGGGAGATGGCCCTAAACTAAGGAGATTAACTTCTTAGCGTGAAGTTTCCTACGTGCGAATCACAACTGCCCACTAGAGTGAGAAATAATTCACCAGACCTCAGCCCAACTCGATGGCATCGCCCGCATCCCTCAGGAAAAGGCGGAAAACGCAGCGCCCAGCTCCCGGTACCGGCTCCCCGGAACATTCCCGGCGTGTTTTCCGAGGCAGAGAACCCGAGCGAGTGACTCATCCCTTGCTACTTGCAAGGGACGAATTTTTCCTCCCTAAAGGAATGGTGCTCGCTCTTGGCGGATTTATTCATTCAACTCAGGTTTTCAAACTCGTGTCACGGGTTGGGTCTGGGTTTAATTCCGAGGAGGACAGTGAGGAAGCGAGCGGCCGCCACCGGGAACGTGCAAAGAGGATTATTTTACCTTGAGAAAGGTGATGTGCTGGGCGCTTTTTTTTTTTTTTTTTTCCCTCCGCTGCTGCTGCTGCAATCACACATTCTATGTTTTCCAGCGCAAAAAAAAAAAAATAAAAAAAAAAAATCCAGGAGAAAACAATCTGGTGAGAAAGGGCTCGCCAGGCTCACAAAAGCCAGGCAAAGATTTCTTTTTTTTTAGGGTTTTTTTTTTTCTGGTACATTGGATTTTCTCCGGAATTACATAAACAGCGGTGTTTTTAAGTCAGTCTTTCACCGACAGAAAGGGGGAAAATTGTGACTCAGTTGGCAAAGGGAGGGGTTGCACGCTCCACCGTCCCTATTCCTCCCCATTCCCGTTAGGATTTCGCCAGTTTTTACAGAAATCCGGCCCGCTCGCGTCCTATTTTAAAAGAAAACAAGCTCCCTCGTCAGCCGGCCCTGAGTCAGGCTGTTTAAAGAGGGATTAATTTATTCTCCCAGACACGGCGTTTGTTCCATCGGGGTTTTGTTGGAGCCCGGTGGAAGCTTGGGGTTGTTTTTTTTTTTTTTTTTTTTTGTTCGTGGCTTTTTTTTTTTTCTGTTGTTGTTTGTCTCTTTAGACGAGGGGGGAGAGAAAAACAAGCAAACACCAAAAAAAAAAAAAAAATAAAGCGCGATCTCATGTTTTGCGGGGGAAAAAACAAAAATAAAATACAAATATGAATATCGGTGGTTTGCAATGAAAGCGGGAAGGGAGCGCGCTGCGGGGCGGCGGCGGAGGGAGAAAGTGCAGGAGGGAGAAGCGGAGCCGCGGGGCCGGTGAGGCGCTGCCCGGCGGGCCGGGTCGGGCCGGGCCGGGCCGGGCCGGGGGCGGGCGGGGGCCGGGCGGCCGCGCTGAGTGACAGCCCGGCCCGGCGGGGACCGGCGGGGCCGCGGCCGTGAGGGAGGGAGGGAGAGAGGGGGGGCGCGGGCAGCGCCGCCGCCGCGGGGCCTCACCTGAAAGAGGAACGCGGTCCAGTTGGCCTCCATGGCGGGGGCGGCGCGGCCCCGGGCGGCGGCGGCGGCGGCTGCGGCGGGCGGTCCCCCCGTCGCTCCCTCCCCCGGGCCGCAGCTACATGGAGCCGACAACAAAGCGGCGGCGGCGGCGGCGGCTCAACATGGCAGCGCCGAGCGGCCGCTTCCGCTAACCTCGGGCTGCACCACTGCGGCCCAGAGGGGGGAGGCGGCGGCGCGGCGCCCCGGCGGGGCGGCGATGGCCCGGGCGGCCGCGGCGCCGCCCCCGCCGCTCCCCTCGCCGCGGGGCGGGCGGCGGGCCCGGGGCGGCGCGGCGAGGCGGCGGCGCGGGCGGCGGGGCCGGGGCGGCGCGGCGGGCCGGCCTCCCCCCCCGCGGGGCTGGCAATGGGCCGGTCCCGGGCTGGGGAAGCCGAGCTGTGGCGAGAGAAGATGGAGGAGCGGCCGAGGTGTCCGGGGCCGCCGCCGCCGCCCGCCCCGGCTCGGCCCCGAGGCCGCCGAGCCGCCCGCCCGCCCCTTCTCCCCTCCCCGTCCGCCCGCCGCCCCCGCCCGCCGCGCCGGCAGGGAGGGAGGGAGCCGCGGGGGCGGCGGGGGGCGGCTTCGCCCGCGGGTGCGGGCGGGCGGCAGCGCCGGGGGCGGAGGGGGGGGGGGTGTGAACTCGGGGCCGCCCCGGGGGTCGCCCGGCGCCGCCGCCACCTCGGCACAGCCGGGCTCGTCCCCAGCCCACCCGGGCTCGCCCTCAGCCCTCCGGGGCTGCTGCCGCCTCCCCGGGCCGGCTCTGCCGCGCACCCCGCCTGGCCGGGCTCCAGGAGGGCCGGGCCCGGCCTGTCCCCCGGCCCCGGCAGCCTCCCCCGGGCCGGGCCGGGCCGGGCCGTGTGGGGCTCGGGCGGTGCCGTGACCCTGCGCAGCCCCGCCGCCTCCCCCGGGCCAGCGGAGTGGATGCGCCCGTACCTGAGGCATCCTCGGCGCAGCACATGCATGCAAATCGTAGCCACGAGCAATTAAATACATACGTACCGTTAATTACGTGTTTACATACACCAAGCACGTCCCTGACAGGCGGCGGGACGGGGCCCAGGGACGGCTCCTTGCACCTCCCGCGTGCTGCCAGGACAGGGAAGGATGCGGGGCACATCTGTGCCCTGCCTCAGGTGGCACCTGGGGGACACCCAGCATTTCTTCCACACCTGAGTGTGGCAGATTTAACACTGCCGCAGGACGGGGGGTTTTAATCCTGACCTCCCTTCGCCTTCCCTGCCACTGGGGAGATGAGAACAGGCTTACAGCACTTTATTATTTATTTTCCCCCAGCTCTGGTCAATCCTCTTTGCTCTGGCCTGGATCCCTGCTGAGCATCCGAGGCCTCGGTGGCTCCGGGCGCGGGAAGGAGCGGCCGAGGCTCCCTGGCTGCAGCGTGCAGGGCTAAATTTGGCCCCTGTGACTTCCTCCCGTGCGGGACACCCGGGTGGTTTTTCTTGTCTCCTGTTACAGATAATGCAAAGGCCGGTCCTGAAGCAGCAGGGAGGAGGGACAATGGGGACAGAGCAGGGACGAGGGCACACACAGCAGGGTCTCAGCCCGCTGGCTCAGCCCTGGCTGTGTTGGCTCAGTGCTGGGCAGGGCACCTGGCTCCTGCAGCACGGTTCTTCACCTTCCCAGGGCATTGCAAAACAGTCCTTGTTCTGTTCCGAGAGATGCCTGCGGTTCTTTCACGCCTCTCAGGGTTTTTTTCCTTGAAACTCCAGTGCCAGAGTCAAGTGGTTATGTCAAAATGTGTTTGCATTTGAAACAAAAAGGAGTTTCTCAGCCGTGTGACCCCAGAGGGAAGTTTGTGACTACGTGTGGGCTTGGCTGCCTGGAGTGGCCCAGCCTGCTTGGGAGCACCTGTAGCTCCAAGGGTCCGTCTGCCTCAGGGAGTCTGGAGCCTGCTCAGATTTGTCCCCCCTGTCTGCACCACAGTAGAGTTCTGTGATGATGCACAGCACTGGAAATTGTAAAATATTCCCCTTGCTCTGCAGAACGTCGTAACTGCGCAGCCCCGCGCACCTGTTTGGAGTTTTTTGGTGTTTTTTTGAGAAAAACACCAAAAAAAGGAGCCAAAGGTGTTTGCCAGTGCAGCACTCCACCAGCCCAGCCCGCTCTGCTCATCCCGGACGTTTTTCCCAGCCGCGGTGTGGGATCAGCTGGATCAGTGCACGCCGTGCCCTGTCCTGCCTGCTCTGAGCGCAGCGCTGCCCCAGGAGAGCCGCAGGACCCCCTCGTTCGGGGACAGGGGACGCCGCTGCCGCCCCTGGCTGTTTCCCTCCCGGCCGCTCGGTTATTTTTGTTAACGCTTATTAAGGAAGACTTGGGAGAGCTCTTTGTTAAGGGCTCACACTCACTTCAATTAAAGGCTAAGAAAACTACCCAAGCGTATCACTGACTCATCGGAGAAATCCCAACCAGCACGTAGCCGCCTAAACTCTGCTCTTGTTTTCACAGCTAGAGCGCCGAGAGGGGACACAGGAACAAAACCTGCAAGACTCGCAGCGACGTCAGACGAGAGGGAAACGGAGCTGGAACCCACTTCCCTCTGGGCAGAGCCGGGCTGGGCCCTCCCGGCCCCTCCTTTGCCTCCTTTGCCTCCCGCAGCCCAGGGCTGGGAGCTGGGAGAGCCCCCGGGGGGAAGCACTCGCAGGAGCTCTATTTAGAAAGGGCAAGCCCGTGCCAAACCTGACGAACTTTCCTTTACCCAGAATTATAACTGGAAGTCTAAAAAGCCACAGTGTTTGAAAACACGTGTTTACATTATATATGCCCCAAAGCAGAATAAACAAAGGTTAGATTTGTAAACTCTCCATCTTAATTAAAGCAGCACTGCTTAGGACAAACCCACATAACAGGCGGCTTGAAGTGTTGTGTTATTTAATTTATACCTTGCAGCTCCCTTAGTCATGGAGCTGGGACAGCGATAGCATCAGCAGCCACCCCGCTGTGCAGGCACAGGGAATTTCTAGGGCACTGGGAGCCCGTGGCCCATTTACCACCCTCCCGAGGCTCTGCTTCTCTGCCTTTCAAACTCAAATCTTCCCTCCCGCTCCCTCGGCGCTTCCCACATTGTTAGGAAGGAAGGGAATGCTGCCGGGTTCTCCTGCCTCCAGTGCCAGCTCTGGTGATGGTTGTGGGAAACCTCCCAGGGTCAGGCCAGCACCAGAGCTGCCCCTCGGTGCCACGGCCACGCTGTGCCCAGTGCCAGCCCCACGGATCCACTCTGTCACTGTGCCCAGTGCCAGCCCCACGGATCCCCCCTCACTGTGCCCAGTGCCATCACCACGGATCCCCTCTGTCACTGTGCCCAGTGCCATCACCACGGATCCCCTGTCACTGTGCCCAGTGCCATCACCACGGATCCCTCTGTCACTGTGCCCAGTGCCAGCCCCACGGATCCCCTGTCACTGTGCCCAGTGCCATCACCACGGATCCCCCCTCACTGTGCCCAGTGCCAGCCCCACGGATCCCCTCTGTCACTGTGCCCAGTGCCATCACCACGGATCCCCTGTCACTGTCCCAGTGCCAGCCCCACGGATCCCCTGTCACTGTGCCCAGTGCCATCACCACGGATCCCCTGTCACTGTGCCCAGTGCCATCACCACGGATCCCCCCTCACTGTGCCCAGTGCCAGCCCCACGGATCCCCTCTGTCACTGTGCCCAGTGCCATCACCACGGATCCCCTCTGTCACTGTGCCCAGTGCCAGCCCCACGGATCCCCTCTGTCACTGTCCCAGTGCCAGCCCCACGGATCCCCTCTGTCACTGTCCCAGTGCCAGCCCCACGGATCCCCTCTGTCACTGTGCCCAGTGCCATCACCACGGATCCCCTGTCACTGTGCCCGGTGCCAGCCCCACGGATCCCCTGTCACTGTGCCCAGTGCCATCACCACGGATCCCCTCTGTCACTGTCCCAGTGCCAGCCCCACGGATCCCCTCTGTCACTGTGCCCAGTGCCATCACCACGGATCCCCTGTCACTGTCCCGGTGCCATCACCACGGATCCCCTGTCACTGTGCCCAGTGCCATCACCACGGATCCCCTGTCACTGTGCCCAGTGCCAGCCCCACGGATCCCCTGTCACTGTGCCCAGTGCCAGCCCCACGGATCCCCTCTCACTGTGCCCAGTGCCAGCCCCACGGATCCCCTGTCACGTCCTGCTGACAGCCCTGCTCCGGTTCTGCTGGGCCAGCGTGTGCTTGCACCACTTACAATGGAAACTGTGGCCAAATATTTCAGCTTTGCGGGAACCCCTTTCTGTTCATGCTCTGAGTGCCACAGCAGGCTTTGAATTTCGCAGCTCTGTGGGGCTGGAGAGCCCTCGAGAGTGTAAATAAGCTGCGCTGATGGTGCTGAGAATGTGCTCCCCGCAGGCAATTTCCCTTCAGCTGCTTCCCGAGTTCTGTCTTCTCTGCTTTCTCTCTTTGCAGCCTTCCCTCTCAAAGTGATCAGGGACACTAAACAGAGACAGTGAATTACATCTCTGGGAATCAGGGCTGGAAGCAGAGTGTGCATGCTGGGAGGAACCGTGGGATGGTCCAGCATCCTCAGGAGAGCATCCCACAGCCCCCACTGCCCGGCTCCTGCTGGACCAGCATCCCTGACCCAGAGCATCCCACAGCCCCCACTGCCCGGCCTCTGCTGGACCAGCATCCCTGACCCGCAGCAAAACCAGGGTGGAAGGTGCTGCAGGGACAGACAAGCCATTCACTAGGCAGAGGGAAATGGAAATGGGAACAGAAAGGGAACGGGAAAATGAATGGGAAAAGGCAAAGGCAAAGGCAAAGGCAAAGGAAAAGGAAAAGGAGAAGCTCTGGCCGGATGGCTGCCCACAGCCAGTGCCCATCCCGCCCTGGAGGGTGGCAGCGATGCCCTGTCCTGCCCTGCCCGGGCCATCCCCGGCTCGGCGGGAGCGCTGCCACTGCCGGGAGCGCCGGAGCCTGCTCGTAATTAGCGCATGTGAGAGATCGCTTCACTTTCCAAAAGAGGGAAAGAGGATGCAGGGAAGCACCAGGCAGCTCGGCTGGAGCACCGAGAGCAGGACGGCGGGGGAGCAGCGAGGAGCTGCCCCGGGGCAAGGAGCGGTGTCCCCGGGGCTCAGCAGGGATGGCCCAGTCCTGCTCTGCTTTCCTGGCTGTAGCCCCCAGCCCCGAGGCGCGCTGCTGCGGGGCTGTGTAAGGAGGGAGGGAGGGAAGCCGGAGCAGCCGGGGGGATGCCCAGGCAGGGCAGAGGGGCGGTGGTGCCAGGGCCACTCGCTGCTGCGGCACGGGGACACCCCCGGCTCCGCTGGGTGCCAGCTCCCACCTCTCTCACCGCGCCAGGGCTCCCCCAGCGCCAGGCAGGAAAAGCCCCGCGGTTACTCCGTGCTTTAGGCATTCCCTGGTGAAAGCATTCCCGTAGCAAACCGCCCTGCCACCGTCCCTCCCTTCCCTGCTGCCCCTCCTGCAGCCCCTGTCCCCCCCAGCCCGGCTGCCACGGGAAACCCTCCCTGCCTCCCTGGGATTTCCCCATCCTCCCCAGTCGTTGCCACCCCGTGAATCCGCGGCTGTGTGCGGTCCCCGGGGCACGGCACGGGCGGATTGTCGCTGTGCCGAGCCCGGCTGTGCCCGCAGCCCCGGCCGGTGTCGTGCCGGGGGCTCTGCGGGGCTCTCCTGGGCTCTGTGGGGCTCTGTGGGGCTCTCCGGGGCTCTGTGGGGCTCTGTGGGGCTCTGTGGGGCTCTGCGGGGCTCTCCGGGGCTCTGTGGGGCTCTCCGGGCTCTCCGGGGCTCTGTGGGGCCCTCTGGGGCTCTCCGGGCTCTGTGGGGCTCTCCCGGTCTCTCCAGGGCTCTGTGGGGTTCTCCGGGGCTCTGCGGGGCTCTGCGGGGCTCTGTGGGGCTCTGCGGGGCTCTGTGAGGCTCTGTGGGGCTCTGTGGGGTTCTCCGGGGCTCTCCGGGGCTCTGTGGGGCTCTCCGGGGCTCCCCGGGCCCCGCACACGCCGTGCCCGGCCGGGAGCCGCTCGGAGCCTCCTGCGGGCAGGGACAGCGAGCCTGGGGCTGTGTTCGGCCCTGCGGCCGCACGCCGGGAAGTGCCCTTATCCCCTTATCCCCTTATCTCTTCCCACCTCCTTGTCCTCGGCCGAGCCTGGGCTAATCTCTGCTTGGCACCTTGAGCGCCGCAGCTGCCCCGCGCCGCCAGCGCCCAGCGGCTTTTCGTTGTTATTTTTGTTGTTATTTTGGTCACCTCCGTCACAACTTTTTAATTTTTTTTTGGCCATTAAACGGCCGCTGTCGTGTGCGCCCCGGGGAGGGCAGAGCCGCCCCTGGTTGTCACACGGGCCCCGGCGATGCTGCTGCTGTGGCCCGCGGGGTCACCGCCCGTGCCCGTCTGTGGCACCACTGCCACGGCGGGGACACACTGGGGACACCCGGGGCAGCCGCACACGGGGCTGGGCACCGGTGCCACATGGCGGGGATTGCCCACACTTCATATCAAACCCGAGGATGGTGGGAAGGCTCGGGCTGGAAAGGACATTGAAAATCATCTGGTTGCACACCCTGCCGTGGCCAGGGACACTTCCACTAGACCAGGGCGTTCCAAGCCCCATCCTTGAACGCTTCCAGAGATGGACGGGGCAGCCGCAGCTCCTGTGTGTCCTTGTGGTTTACGGGTGTGCACAGACGCGAGGAGATCGCAGCTTTTTCTGTCTCACATGGGACATTTCAGAGCCCTCCTGGCAGGTGCTACCGACCCCTGCTCTCCCCTGCCCGGGCTGCCCTCAGCACTCTGCCTTTGCACCCGCTGAACTCTGCTGCTCTCCAGGAAAACTGGTTCCCAGTTTGATTTAAAAACTTCCCGAGCCAGAGCCCGTACCAATTCCTTAGCAGCGCGCAGCTCCGGTTAATCACCAGTGACCATTTTTAGTAATAATTCCTGCGGGGCCAAGGACTGCAGGGAAACATCCGCTCCTGCCTCGCTCCCCTTCCCACCATCTGCCCCGGCTCCTCGCGGGCACGGCGCGTACGGCAGCAGGCACACGGGGTCAGTGCATTTAGGGAAAAACACCACCACTGAATTAGAGCAGCGCAGGCAGCGAGGAAATCCTAGCGCTAATCCCTGATCTTTCACTGACACACGGCAAAGCTCGGCCGAGCCGGCTGCTCCCCTCCTCCCCAGCCACAGCTGGAGAACACGGATAATGCTGCATTACCTTCCCTGCAGGGCTGCTGCGATTAACAGCGGCAGAGAGCTCCGAAATCTTCCCGGGATGGGGATGGCAGGGATTAATACTCGGCTAGATGCTCCCCCAGGACCATTTGCCAATGCCGTGCCCCATTTTCTTTATTCTTTGCTATTTACTTTTATTTTTTGCTGGGACCTGGGTGGTGTTTAATCTCATTTGGCAGTTATGGATTGTCTCCAAAACAATCAATGTCTGTGCATTCATCTGCATCGCTCAGCTGATCCCACAGGGACGAGCATCCAGCGCCGGCGGGAGCCCCGGGCAGAGCATCCCTGCTCTCACTGGCCGAGGAACCAACTTTGCTCCATGTTTCCAAGGGGGGAAACAAAACCTTTGGTGGTATCAGGCAGCTCTGCCTCAAATTAATTTCGGTGCCGTCGGGAAAATATCCTGTGTCATTCTGCAAATCAGGCAGAAAATGATGCTCCCCGTGCCTTCCCTCCTGCCTGTGCACTGTACAGACACGCACGTGTGAGGATGGAGAATCAATGCAGCCAGAGCCTGCGCAGCGGGATTCTATCCCCGCGTTTCATCTTGTATCAAAAATCACGACAAAAATACAGCCCTGCCTTTTGTCAGAAGCAAAATACCCAGAGCTCAGCAAACTGCCAAGTTTTCCATGTTGAAATTTGC